ATTTCATACGGTGCCATCTGTTGAAATACAAAAATTTCTTACTATATTTTCCTTCAGTAGGCTCAGCCCTAAAAAAGGATTCAATTCCAATTTACATTTCGATTTGAAAACACTGATGTGTAAGGAGATGTAAAGAATAGATGCTATGTAACCCAATTTTACCTATACGATTGATTATTTAAAATATATTCAATATTTACTCAGTAGTCTTGGCTTTAATTTCTCTCATGGGTTACCACTTTACATGGCGACCCTGCCAGGCGATGCACTGCGACAATGTAAGCGCACCGCCGCGCCACGGCTTGCAAAAATTATATGTATTAAAAGTTGTATTAATTTGATTACAGTTTACTGAATTGACACAATACCAGATACAAAAACACAAATAATAATGTGACAAATACGAGAAGATGTCCCAATAATAATTTGAAAAATTAAAAAGTATATACAGGCTATAAGTATACATATGCGGCAACTAACAAAGAATGACGAAAATAAAATGTTATTTTTTATTAAATTGTAATGGCCAAAAACCGAAATTTAAGAACCGGCTGATAAATTTAAAGTGCTCAAGTGAGCTTCGCCCAGAAAAATACGAAAATTTAGCCGAAATAATAAAGAAGAAATTAAGAGGTAACATCGCACCAACCATAGAATACTATGTATTATAGTATTCTATGGTTAAAGATTCTATCTTGCATAAGGGAGACTGGGGCTGGTAGTGACAGGGGTAAGTAGTTACAGCGGCAACGGTGGCTAAACTGAGAACGCTACATTGACGTGAGAAAGACGCAAATGATCACGCAACCACCGGCTTGCATGCCGCGCGAGCCTGTGGCGCCAGGGCTTTTGTGAGAGGAGCCCTTACATGTTTTGCCGTACGTTAGAAACATTTTCGTTTTATCGTAATATTGGTCTAAAACCTCTTTTCCTTTAAAGCAGATATGTGTGTGTGTGTTGTGATATGTGTGCCCTAATCCTTTCTAATTGCAACGAGTCTACGTTTATACAGTTATACTTATTTGTGTTTTTACTACTTAACCTTAAAAGGTCAGTTTTGGCGTTGGGGCTAAAAGTGACATTTGTTCGAGGCGGGTTGTGACTTGTTACTACCTACCCCGTAATGCTGCTTGCCGACTTATATATTTTGAGCTACATAATTTGTAGTAAATTGTAAAACTGAGCGTGGAAAAATATCTAAAGAGATTTAAGAAAAAACAGCAGCTATTTTGGAATAGGATAAAACTATAAAAAATCGTGGCATCGCAAAAGATCTTGGATTATGTGATATGTCGCTAACAAAATATTTGAAGAAACAAAAAGAACTAAAAGAGAAGGGCACGCCTACAGAATCTCTCACAGAAGACAAGGGGGTATTTTGATGAGTTATTTGATTAATGATTAAGGCAACTAGCATTTGCCAGTGCCCTTAAGTACGATATTGCAGTAGTACAATCATGGCTTGACAATAAAGAAGTATCAGTTGATTGGCTGACAGCGTTTTTAAAACAGAACCAGTCTTTGTCTGTAAGATCACCGGTAATACTAGCCTAAGTATGGCTACGTCGTTTAGTAAAACTAACGCCGATAAGTTTTTTTTCTAAGCCGGCAGACGTGTTGGACAGATATAAATTTTCTCTGTCACGCATATGGAATGTAGATGAGACTGGCGTGACAACGTTGCAGAAACTTAGAAAAAATTGGGCTCCAAAAGGGTCCAAACAAGTTGGTTCCATCACACTTGTCACTCTATGCGTGGCAGCAAATGCAGTGAAAAACTCGATACCATGTATGTTTATCTTGGGAAAAAACGCCTAAGGAAACAAGGAAGATTTCTGTTAAAGGAAAGGTTTTTTATGACTCTGACTCTGACAAAGTCATGTAAAACCTCTAAAAACTCTGACTCTGACAAAGGAAGTGTAGATGATTATTTTTGCCTGATGTGTCAACCGTTTGATCAGAGTCGAGCTGGTGAGGAATGGGTACAGTGTAAGAATTTGCTAAGGGAAATGTTTTATCCTAATCCTTTTAACATGAGTAATGTTTGAATCGTGTGATTGTCCAGACTATAGTTACTAAACTGTTTTTTAGCTTTCAGTATCTGATTGTTTTTTAAATAGAGACTATTTATTTTTTGCTAATGTAAAATCTTTTTATTTATTTTTTGTTCATGTTCAATTTATACTAAGCTTTTGTTTAATAAAGAAATTTATAATTTTCTGCCGGTTGGAAGTTACCTAAATTTTATTTTTATGAGGCGTAAGTCTAAAAAATCAGATTATAATTTTGTTCAACGAAGTTTGTACTATGTTTTATTTTAATGAGGCAAAAGACTGTGATCTAGAAAATGTAGTTTGACATTGTATACATAATAATTGTTATAAACTGTCATTATTCTTAATAAAAAGTGTTATATTACATTTGGTTTTTGTTGTAACATTTTGCGCCTTATAGTGTAACAACCAGCCCCCGGCGTGGGGCTAAAAGCTACACGCCTCTTTTCCCAGAATTCATTCATTTATGTCACTTCTAATAGTCTGGTATCTAAAATTGTTTTCTAAATTAATAACCCGAATAATTGCTTAATCAAACAAACCTGCATTCCAGTAAAACAACCAAACAAACAAAAAATTACGACACTTTTTAAAAAAAAAATGTCACAACCAGCCCCAGTGTCCCCTACTATATATTATAGTATTCTGTGGCACCAACAATGTGATTTTTAATTTTACTTAAAACTTCATTAGTTTGAGACTTTAATATTGTTTTTGCTATATTTTTTAAGGTGTGTATTTAATGTAATGTAAGATTTAGTTAAAATTAATTATCAGATAAATAAGTTAATATTTTCCATAGCGTATATAAACTTGATAGCTGTTATAATGATTTTCAATTATTTTCTATATAGCATTTTATAAACGTCATATAATTTCTCGCGATATTATTTTCGTGAAAATTATAATACGATGTGATCATGTGACTGACTAAACCTCTGTGTAAATTAAAAATATTTAAAACTATAATTTTATGGAACATACATTTTACTTGTAATCATAATATAATAATTACCATAATGTAAGTTATGTTAACTTTAGAGCTCAGAGGTAGATATAGAGGTTGAAACGTTTGCAATTCTATTACATAATACGATGTAATATAATTGCTAACGTTTCCATATACGTACTTTGGTAATTAAAACAAACGTGTCACAAATCGCTTACGCGGCTGGGTTTGCGATTTGTACTTTGATCTTTGTGTTTGATAATGGTTACGTTGCTTTACATTGACTTATTTGTTGTGTATCGTAAGAGTGGGTATTAAGCCAGAAAATTTTGCAATTTCGTCCTCGCATCCCGGACGGAGACCGCAGCTCTGTAACCAAGCTAACGGCGGACGGCGGAATTGTAAACATAACTCACTTAGATCATTGTGCAGTCACACAAGCGCTACCTCGTAACAAACTATTTCATTCTTTATTCTTCTAATTATCTTTGCAAGCTGTATACTGTGTGTATAAGTCGGAGGTTAGTCGGAGGTTACATGTTCAGTATTTCATCAGTTCAGTCCGTCAGTCTGGTGATAACGATCGCACAATTATCGTCTAACCCACGGACTGACGGACCGATGATCAGGACTAATAAAAATTAAATATTTTACATAATTTTCGCAAGTCCATTGTGAATGATGAAATACTGATGCGAGACTGATCGTGTACCCACATGTATTTTCACACCTTTATTTCACCGTCCACGATGATATGTAGGTGGAGCCTGACGTATCTCACCTGCCCCTCGCCGCCACCACCGCCGCCTTCACCCTCGCCCCCACCACCACCCCCAATTGAAATAGAAAAAGATTTTATTCTCACGTTGGAGTCCTTGCCCGTTTTATGGGATAAAAAGCACAGTAATTACTCCAATAAATATAAGACAAACAAATCTTTGCAAAAGCTCTTTAATATATTCACAAAAAATGAACCAGGGGCAACTGTAGATGTTACACTCCAATTACAGACAAGAGTTAAATTGTTTCGTCACAAGGATCAGGGTCTTATACAGACGAGTTATATTCTCAAAAAAGCTGGACATTTCAATATCTAAAATTTTTGGATAAACTTGAGTAGCCTGTTCCTGTAGGTCGGGTAAGTAGATATTTTTATTTAATACAACTATTTGTATTGCTAGGTGGGTAGCCGAATATGTAAGTATCTACTTACTTTAGGTAGTGCGAAAAAAGTTTATTTAAACACTCGAAGGCGATGCAATATCGACGCTCGTACATAATATAAAGAAAGGATAGTTATATTTACAGTTTAATTTTATATCTTTGACTATAACTAGTTAAGAAATTTTAAGTAGGTTTATGAAGAGGATGTGTAGTAGCAATGATTGTTTACTTACAAATAAAACTAAGTGTAATGTTGATAATAATTATTTATTTATACCAGCACATTTTTTTGTAATTTTCCATTTACCACAGAACATATATAGTCCTAAAGGGGCCATTAACTCTCACAGTTAAACAATTCCCTTATTATTTTGGCACACGCCCGCTGTGGATATGACTTCATCAAGTTTTTCCCTAGTGCAAAAACTTGATCGCATATAAAAACAAAATGAAAACAAATATTCTGGTAGAAAGATTTAATTCACCTTTACACTAGAAATCCAAGAACTTTGAGTAAAACAGAACACCACCATCAGATACACGGCCATTCGCACCAACATCAATCATTATTAATTCTTTCTTTGTATTAAGAGTAGCTAGTGTCATTAATACGAAACAAAAGTAACTTTTATAGGTGACGTACAACGATTCTGAGTGTTCGGGTTTTTGTATCTTAACATGTTTCCCATCTAAAGCTCCCAAACAATACCAAAAGGTATTGTTATATCTACGTTCAAACTCAGCTCGATGCCAGTCCATTCCTCCTTTCACGGCTTCTGAAATGAAAAAAATACAGTCAATCAATTATTATATTGTTTATTGTTTTTTTGCAGGTTAACAGTGGTGATCACAATGAAGCACTTTCTGAGTCACCATGTCCCGATCAAGAAAGAACTACAAATACCTATTTCTTCTATTGTACCTGCATCGAAGCTACTTGAAAAACTGTCTTCGCTTAATTCGAAGAAAAGTGTTATTAAACAACAAAATGAATCGTTGGAACAAGCATGTACTTATTTAGCTAAACCAGTTAGTTCACAAGTTAGTGCTGTTCAGTCGATTGCATTTGAATGAACAGAAACATTACACAGAGTACACCCACCTCAAGGGCTATACGCCAAAAAGGTTATTGACGATATACTTTTTTTAAGCAGAACTGGGAAATTTGCATAGATACTCAATTCAAATAAATATCACATCTACTTCATCACCTGATTCATCTTCCTTTGACATGCACTTCCAAATCACACCTTCCCCCGAATCATCTTATTACTCAGGCACACTATCTCCCAACCACATGTCCTCCCAAATCACAGCTCCTCCCGCACAATTTCCCGAGTACAGACACTCCTAAGTCATATCTACACTCATATTATCTTCCTACTCAAACGCACCATCTCCGTACATTCATACCCAAGTCACAGCTCTTTCCGTACCATCACCATACGTTCTTCATATTTCATCCACACTTACTAAGTCTTAAGACTACAAATATACATCAGGTTCTTTATTCGCTCAATTTAAGGCATGCCCATGGGATCAAAAAACAAGAAAAAGAAAAACCAAGGGGATCGTAATCCTTCTGGAGAAGTCTTGTCAACAGAAAATGAGAGTGAAAACAACGAGGTCGTTGATACTGTTAAGCATGGTGAAGAATGTGATGGAAATGAGCTTAAGTCACAAAATGTTAAAGGACGCGCAGAGTTCGTCTTTGAGGCTATGATACGCAGACCGCCTTCTCCAAGAAGGAGCTACAGATTAAAATATGCTTGACATAGATGATAAATCTCAGAAAGATTATTCTGTGATTTAAAAACAGGAGGTTGAGCCAACGGTCATAAAAATTCCAGGAGATATTACGATTGGAGAGTAGAACAAACACTATGGGAAGATAAGGATTTGCCAATTGTAGAATAATGTCGGTAATTTAACAACCTCTACGTCACATGAGAGTGGACTAACCTGCAAGGAAGATAACACCGAACAAAATAATTCGGTAAGAGACTTGTTGAAAGAAGCTTATTGTATTTTTGGTAATGAGGGGAGCAGGTTCCTATGACAAATACGAGAAGTAAATTTGTCGACCGCGACCGTCATGGTTTCAGCTTTCCAATCCTTTTGAGGAAGTTGGAATTGGTATACAAAAGCAGAGATACTAAAAGTAAAGGTATCGAATATCGTAAGTATCGTAAAAGAAGATTAAATTACCAAGAAAAAAGGTAGGTATAACATAAATAGACACTTTATTCATGGAGTGGGGAGTAAGATTTTTATAATTCTAATATTTATATAAAATATCTTCCTAATTTACATATTTTTCATCTTAAATGAAAGCCAAAAGTTTTAGTATTTTAATACGAATTTCATTTAATTAATTCAAGTCAGCCGCGTGGAATTTATAACGATTGGATTTAATGAATTTAAATTTTTTGCGCAGAATCTTATGTTGTGTAACTCTAGCTAGGTTCCGTCAAAATTGGTCCAGCCGTTTCGGAGAATTGCAGGAACAAACAGATATTTTTTTTATTGGTTATAAGTGCCGTATATACTTTCATATGCATTTAGTAAAGAAACTGTTATTTTGACATTACAAACAGACGCAACAGACACTATGTAAACTGATTGTACATATTTAAGGATTGATTATTGAAAATATAGTCAGTAATACTGAGTTATTACTTATTACTGCTTTCATTTCTTTCCCGGGTCACCACTTTACAACACTTTTATAGTCAATTCGACAGATTTGTCAATATATTAGAATTTTTGTTATATTTATATGATAATTTTGTTAACTAGTTATCACAACCTACCTCAACAGGACTAGTCATGACCTAGTATCATAAATGAGTACTAAAAGAAATATTTCAGTATATGATTATCGTTCTTAAATAAATATCACCAATTGTTCAAACACTGTGATGGATTGGCAAGGATATTTTAACGCAAAGCTGTTTATACTAAAATAGGCTTTGTTGCGTCGTAATAAAGTGTATATTGTCGTGGTTATATCAGTAGTTGCTTAGTGTTTATCCACGCAATCATCTATTTCTGAGTAAAGTTGTTGATTCATGTTATGGAATTTGTGGAATGCTCTTAATATGGACATGGAATATATTTTCATGTAAAGCCATGAGTAAGTTTTATTATTTCAGACTTAATCTGTGTTTTTTTTTATGGGATAGAGTGACAAACGAGCACACAATCCACCTGTTGGTAAGTGATTCCTGTGGCCAATACACATCTAAATCTATCCTCGATTACGAATCAAAATGCAGATGCGTTATCACCCGTGAGAAGTAAGGTGGAATTCCTCGTTTGCAGCAAAAAGGATCTTCGGTTCTCTATACCCACCATTCGACCAGCAGCGTTATGCTGCTATTTTACGCTGGTATTCTGTGAGAGCGTGGTCCTTCCCCGGTTGAGCCGACTCATTCGTGTAACAACTATACTACTAATATAGCTGCAGCATGGCTCTACCATTTATAAAACAATTGATCATCATATCCCCATCTTCTCGTGCTTTGCAGTATACCGTTAAGCGATTTTTCAGAAGTTTTCTGTCTCATATGTCTACTTTGTGTTATCAGCTTACCAGCAATTTTTCTGGACCGCTTTTAGTAGATAAAACACTGGGTAGATAACATTCTCTTAATGATCGACCCGAATAGCGAATCAGTACTTGAATGATCGGGTCACTAGAAATGAATAAATGATACATGTCTAGTCTGAATCTGAAGGTTATAGAGGACCAGTATAATTACAGGCTATGAGGCACTCCTTCTTAGCTCCCGGAGTTGACAACGCTTCTATGACCGTCGTTGTTGTCCTCTGCAGGGCATAGTGCCGTGCAGGTCTCGGGCCTCGGGGTATACCCCTTTACCCGGATGTTCCTCACGGCACACTACAGTGTGCCGGTCCTGGGCGCCTTGATGGTAAAGGCGTTGTATTTTGCGACTTTTGTCGCGGTCAGTTAAATTGTAATATAAGGTGGTTGTCTAAATAATTGTGTTTAACACAATTATTATGTCAAAGTTGGCCTTTCTGCGGCATTGTGGGGTTTCTTCTATGACCACTTTTTTGTTTGATGTTGGTAGCAGGTAGCGTTACCAGATGGAGAATTGAAAAATCCTTACAAATAAACTCATTAACTATTGTATAAACGTAATTAACTATAGTACGTGAGGTTAATATGGTCATACGGTTAATATGGTCACTTTTTATAACTCAAAAACTACAGCCTTTTTGCATAGATGGCTCTGTGATACGATAGCTCTTTATCAATAAATCAAATAATAAAGTGTCAAAAGGGCGCGCTGCTTTTCCGACGCCATTTTAACAGTTGACATTATTAGTTAATATTTAAGTCGATTTTTAGTATTGTGTAGTGTAGTTAGTTTTTTTAAAGTTGATTTTCGAAGTGTTCCTAATTATTACTATTAATTCTGACAAGAGCTCAATGCCTGACATGTCAGGACAAATATGGTATCTCTAGTCGCAGGTGTCTATGAGCTGTAATAGCCACTTACCAAGAAGTAGCCTGTCAAATCGTTTTCCGCTTATTATAGAAATCGCTTTGATTTTAGGATCATCAAGAAAAGAGCCCACTACGTAAAGACTTGCAAATCCTCTGGTGTTGCACATGTTCTTGAACGAAAGCGTTCAGTAACCAAGGCACCTGAAACAATCTATCTTTTTTAATATACATGTTAACGCGATAAGAGTCGAGGTAGTTCAGGAGATAAAGTGATCGCCGTATCTTTCACAATAGATACTCGGGTTCCGGTTTCCATCTCCACCGACAACAATTACCTACATTGTCTATTGCAATTTTAAGCGGGGCACGTGGGCACGAGAATGCTCCTGTTAATATTTAAAACGCTTTCTGCCCAGCATCTAATTATTAATCTTTAAAATACATTTCTGTAGCTAACAGTTGGGTTGCGGCGCTGCAGAGCGCGTATCTTCGAATTCCAGTACTATCAGCAATATCCCGTCTTCGAGTATGTAAGTACCTACCTGAAGTAACTTTATGAAAAAATTCTTAAAAACCTTTGAACTTTGAATTATTTTTACAAATACATTTGTCCTGTAACTAAGTAGGCATTTTAATCACAGAACAAAAATTAACATTTTTATAGTTATAAATTAAATATTCTGTTTTATTTTAACTTCTTATCTCGAAATAAACATTAACACACAACAACATGACAACTCGTCTGCATTTTGGATTCTTAATCGCAGATAGGTGCAGTGTCCATGGGCCACAGCCTCAACTTACTCTGTGGACTGTGTGCACATTTGTTACGCCGGCAATACACGTTGGCCAAGCCTCAGCCAACGCGCTTATTCAATAAAAAACATACGACCACCAGGAGTAAGTTTGAGTTGATTGTTGGATTCTCTTCAACGTGGTAGAGCCACGCTGCAGCTATATCGTGGTTGTTTCATAAGTGTATCGCTTCGACCGGGGAAGAAAGATGCTCTCACAGCATACCAGCATAAAATAGCAGCTCTTTACTGCTATGGTGAATGTAGAGAACCGAAGAACCTTTTTACTGGAAATGATGCATTCATCCTTAGTCCCCAAGGTTGACAACGGATATGCATTTTAAATTGTAGTGGAGGCTAAATGCAGGTGTCTATGGGCCACAACATACACTTACCATCAAGTGGACTGTGTGCTCGTTCGTCACCCATATTCTTTAAAAAAAAGTCTCACCAGCACCGTATGTTAAGCAACAATACATTTTTTTATATTTGTTCCATTTTTTTTTTACAATATTGTTTGGAATTGTTGTTCTGACCACGCAAAACATGTTAACTTTGTAATAATTGTATATTATTTACAAGACAGAGAAATTTCAATTATAATTAGATTTTGAATCAGTCAATGTGTAAGTGTGAATGCATCCGGCAACAATTGTTTATATATTACGTACGCGAACTGGTCCGTGACTTTCGACCATTCACTGCCAAACCGTACTGACACAGAACCGCACTGAAATGCCAACACGCTCTAAATAAATAACAAACAAACG